AGACATTCATAATCAAATATCAAAATGTCAAGTTTTTATCCTTGTTCTAAAGTACAAATTCCTTCTAATCCCTAGCATTAATTTGTACATTATGAATCATCTAGTTAGGCTATTTTTTTTATCAAAACATGGTTTTTTCTCTCACCTCTCACCCACATAATCTATCTTTCATTCAACATTCATTATTATTCCGTGCTGATTTGATGTCACGTTTGTTTACCTCGACTGACTAAAGTAAATAGTATATCATTTTCATTCTATTTTTACAACACATTGGATGTGATTCGATCAGATATAACTAATCAACTTGAATACAGTGAAAACGTTCTTTTCATCATTCAAAGGTTAGAATAATAGGGAACTGACTTATTTCAAGGCTTACTTAATTCAATTTTAGATTTGCCCGTCGACTGACTGGACCGAAGTGCTCAGTCTCAGGTTGACATGTCGGCTTCTTGTGCAGATGCTTCGACGATGTCTGGGTATTTAATTAGAAGTGAATTGGTGGGTGGTGACTAGCAGTGACAGAATCCAGGATTTGTTGGATGTACATGCATTCCCCAGTAAGTGATCGATCGACGGGAAAATCTAAAATTGAATTAAGTAATTAATAACACCCGTCGCACGAGGGGTGGCTCTCGTGGCCCAGGTAGTCTAGGGGATAACTCTTTGGCGTTTGAAACTATAGGTACTGAGTTCGAGCCTCGGTGGGAACGTCATCACTCAGTTAGAAATGCAGGTACATCCAGATGACGAGTCCCAAATAAGACGAAATACACATCCTGGATTCTGTCACTGCTAGTCACCATCCACCAATTCACTTCTTATTTCAAAGTTGTTATTTTATCTAACCAGCATCATCCGAAGGAAACATTAAAAATTAATGATGTCTGAACGTACTCAATTAGTTGGTGAAATGGTTCGTTTCCTGCTCCCGTTAGATCTGCAAGTCTTGGTTTGATTGAGGTTATCACCGGAATAGATTTTGTCACAAATGAATGTCTGCTAGAAAAATGTCGAAAACCAAGTTGCTCTGAAGGGCAGCTTCACCTTGATTCAACACTACTCAAAAGTGTGAAAGCAAGACTCCATGCATGACCCACTCCAAGACAGTCGAGATATGAGACAACCACCCTACAATTCAGTGTTCAAGTTAGAATTTGATTGTCAATGCTTCTAACTTTTCACAGTGATGACATTTCTCACACTCATTTTGGTTCATCCATTTGAAAGTGATTAAGACTGTTTCCACCTGAGGAACTTCCATAGATGGTTATTACCGCTAAATGAAGTAATCCAGGAAACTGTTTGCGACCGAATAACAGTGAAAAGCTGCTTTAAGAAATTATTACTCCATCTCCACTATCTGTTAATTCTCTTCCAATAGACTAGCTTAAATCAATATACCGTACATAATTATTTTCTTTTGATTACAGCTTGATTCCACACCGTATTTTTGTTACAAGTATGGAATTTTCAGCAGGTGATATCGGTAGCTCAAATTTAGCAGACCGATCATAAATACCAGGTGTGCGTCGGCAGAGGATCGAAATCCGGACCATGTGCATGATCGGCGAGAGTGTGCCACTGACGCACACAGGCTCACAATTTGCAGACTTTGTGTGGTAAACACAAAAGCCATGATAGGTTGATAGTGACATGCATTACTTACTCCGTCTTCTTTCCCTTTCCCAACACTATCACGTGAGTACACTGACTCACTTATTCACATAGCTTATTTTGTTTAGCATTACTTGAAACCCACTTCAAGAGTAGAATAAGACTGATAACAAGTAGAAGAGAATTTATTTCTGAATCAATAACCCTTTAAGAGAATAATTACCTACTATAAATAGATGGATAACCAACAATCATTACTTTTATTATTCAAACTATAAATTTTTGATTCCATAATTTTCAACTCAAAGGATTAAAATTATTTGATATCTTCATTTTGACGAAGGAAAGTACTTAGCCTATCGCTACAGAGTGATGTTTGCTTGATGCCTCAGGCAGTAAAGTATACATATATCGAAAGAATGTTGCATTGATCATAAACAACAGTAATAGCATTTTCTTTAGTAATTAAACAAAACAGGAAGGAAGTCAAGGAAACAATACGTGATTTTAAATTATTGACTGTAACATAATGACTGTTTATCAAAAAATGGTTAGATGTTGTACGCCCATGATTTAGTGAACATTCTTTTTTCCGTTCTGTTAATTAATCTGAGTCTTGTAATCACAAAAGTCACTATCTATTTGAATATAAGTTATGTCAAACAGTCTACAAATGCATAGTAAACTGTGCCTAATCAACCATAATGATATGTACAACCACCAGACTCTAATTTAGACATCTAATGAAATAATAAACTATCTCACATACCATTGATCTCATTGAGCAGTTCTTGTGCAAACAAATAATTACTATTGCTTTGGGGTTAGATTACTAACTAATATCAGTGAACCAGCTTGAAATCAGTTAAATCTCTGCAAGCTACTACTTGATAATAAATCTAATAATTTTCTATAGTTTGGTTTGTAAGGGTTAGTTATGTTTTATACGAGTTGATCACGGATTGACATCGGTTAGAGAACCATTGAAAACCAGGGAGTACTGGACAGCTGCTGTTTCATCCTAGTTTGGGATTCGAATCCCAGTGGGTGCGTACTGCCAATTAGACTGCTCCTCCTAATACTCTTTCCAGTCGTCTATCCTGGGAGCTAGTTATGGTGCCATTTCTCTCAGAGATTGTTTCACTTATAATTTGCCTTTTACCACCTGTTTCCCTGATAAGCCTAAATAGTTGCCTAGTGTTGCCAATCGCCGATGCCTTTTCCATCTCTTCCGCTTTTGTCACCCACCACTGTTCACGGTCGTTGCGAAGGCTTCTTGTTAGTTTTTGTTTGAATAGCTTTCGCTCCCCATCATAATCGGAAGTCGCTAGAATCAGTCTTCTTGCGTCAGTCAGTTCGGATGGGGCGGTAGAGATCCAATGGCTCTTACTAACCTTCGGTTTTAGCTTACTAACAGCTTTCACAGCTTCGTCTACAGCTAACTGTATGTTGTGCCAGGTTACCTCAGGGTAAGTCCTTCTGTAGACCTCAGACACTCGTTTCGGTATTTCCTCCTTATATAGAAACTCAATGTCTCAATCTAGTTGGGGACGTATTTGTTTCGCTGACGTCAATCTCTTATGTCCATTTAGTTGTAAGAATAAAAGTGCGCGAACCAGAGCGTGATCAAAGTCTACGCACGTGTTCCAAAAGGAGTGGCAGTCTCCTACTGATCCTCTCCAACGATAGATACCCTACCGCTATGTGGTCTATCTGAGTCCAGCGTTGATTTGGTGATGAAGGTCGCCAGGTTACACAATGTCTCTCTTTGTGCTTAAAGCTGGTGCTGACTAGGAATAGATGATTATCTGAACAGAAATGTAGAAGACGATCACCGTTGTCGGTTCGTCGGCAGGGAAATCCATACGTACCACCTACATACCTCTCAGTCTGGCACAACTTCCCTACTTGGGCCTTGAAGTCGCCTGCTAAAGCAACTATACCTGAGCGTTTTGCGTTTTGCAGCAAATTAGATAGTTTTAGGTAGAAGTCATCCTGTTCATCTGAACTTCAGTCTGTTGGGGCGTAAGCGGAAACTACGAAAAGGCAACGATGGCTAGCACTGTCTTTCCTTCTTTTAACGGACCCATTCAGACGGACCGCACAGATACGACTATCTACTGGGATCCAGTCGAGAAGTGATTTTTCCACCCTAACACTCAGTGCTATCCCTACTCCTGCGAGTCCTCGCGAGCTAGCTGAGGGGTCTCCTGACAGCCTTAAAGTGAATTTTGCAGATTCACCATGTTGGCCGGATGGGGTTAAGTGAATGACCACACTCAGGTATTGTGTGCATGTCTCCGGAACACAACATACACCCATGGCTCGATATGCGAGAGTTCTTGCTAGTCGTGCCTGTTGTCCAATTTGGCAGAGGGTCCTGACTTTAAATGCTCCTATATGAAGTTGGCGACCCACCCCTCTCTGACATGATTATCGTGTGATTACTACTTGTTTTAGCAAGGGTTTGACCTTGTATGACTTGCGCTCTATCCTCTTAAATGTATGTAAATATGATTCACTAGTCATTTTGTTCCACACGTCATTGCTGTTCGATATGTTATTGTCTTTCCTTGAATGACAATCTTTCTTGTACTGTTACCTTTGCGTGACTGTGTTATTTTTGTATTTCAGATTAAATTTATGTTAAGTCAACTATGGCAAGAGCTGGATTATGTTGTCATTATTTAGAGTGAGAACTAAGATCTCTAGGCAAATGTAATCCTAAACTAAATATGAAACAATTCCTGTATCTGTTGTAAAAGAAAACAGAAAATGAAAGCATTCAAGCAAGAATTCAGATGAAAACAATTCATACAAATCATGTACTATAACAGCAACAACTTGACATAAAAGCCGAAAAAAGTAGAACTGGAAAATCATACATCACATAATGCATGCAGTATTATAGGGCACTCGTCTGGTCTTTATTGTTAACTGCTGAAATTCACGCTATTCAGTCTACATACTTGCTCACTTAAGTCGTTTCATAACTTCACCATATATATTTTGCACATACCCTTTGTTATTATTGATTCAAAAAATTACAGCAGTTTGAGAGGTCTACTGAGTTAAGAGTACATTTTCAGGGACCAATAATAATATAACATTGGAAGAAGACTGACGTTCGAGGAAAAATGAATGCGAAGACAAGAGAAATGTCTAACTATCTGTTTTTCCATTTAATTCTGACTATTTTTCAAAACTATTCTTCTGACTTTATCCGTAAGCTTTTCAAAAAAAAAATAACAGAAGAAAGTAAAAGTTAAATGCATTATTTAGTCTATGTGTCATCTATATTTAGCTCACTTAATTTGAGTAAGCTAATCAATCAACTGTCTTGTATATATATACGTATTAGTGTGTTGTGATAGACAACAAACAATCGATAAAATTTAATCAATTTACATGAGATTTAAACTTTATTGTTAAGATATATCGTTGAGGAAATTACAGTGGCTGTTGGAGTGGAATTTCGTGAACCCAACTAATATCATTTTCATTTTCTAAGTAAGTAATTTGATGAACATGGTTATATTTTTTGCTGCAATTATTAAAATTTCATAAATGAAGATTTTTGTAATGAGGACTACTGGTTTGTATTTTTAAATAGTTGGATAGTGCTTACATTCACAATGCCATCTTTCACGGTTTTCCTAATTGGATCAATTTACTGTACTATCACTCAAGGGCCGGACACGATTAGTGATACGATCTCAAGATTCATTTTAACTGGAATTAAAAATGTCGTTTTAATTGAATTCAGTTCTTATAGATAGCTGCATATCTATGTATGATCTTTTCTTGAAATTCAGAAATGATAGTAATCCTATGTTTACATAAAGCATTCTTTAATAGTACAAATAAGTTTTTAATTCAGAAAGTAACTTAGTTACCATTAAAGAAGCACTTATTAAGTAAAGCATCGGTGGTAAAGTGACAGAATGCTCGCCAACTACGCATGTGGTACGGGGTTCGATCCCCGTCCGATGCACTCTTCCTTTACCTCGCTAAGTCAGTAATAAGACTGGTAAAGAGGGGAGGTTGGGCATGAGACTAGCAACCCCATCCCGTAAAAATAAACATGACTACTACTGACTGACTTCAAGTCACTAGCTTGAAGTCCTATGTTCCCAGGGGAACATAAAGGAATAAAAAACTAAGTAAGGAATTTAAGCATTAGAAGTGATTTTTTGTATCAAAACTGTCTTCAGAAATAATATTGTAGGGTAAGCAGTAGGCTTCCCAGAAGACAATGGTAATTTCTCCCATCTAATCAGAAGAATATTGTTGGCATAATTCATAAATTTAGCAGACTTCGTGTTTCTTTGCATTAATGAACACGGTGCCGAAAATTAGTCGAGCTGATGAACTTAAAATAATACCTCATGATTGTGGGTTATTTGTTCCTACTGACTAGAGAATTAATTTATTTTTTCCAATTTCATTTCTTGATTGTTTTAGAAAATATCAAACTATCTTGTACGTTATGGCATATGATCAAGACAATTTAAAAGCTTGTCTAAAATGCGGACCAGCATGTCAAGGATTTACAAAACATCCATGGAGGTATAATTTATTTTGATACTTCTATTGTTTTATTAATCTATAGAATGACATGTACAACATGTCGTTGTGCCTACGATGAACATGATATAACAGATACATCAAATCAAATATTATTAGATGAATTAGAACTGGGTGAATCGCCGTTTTATAAAGGATATGTAGAAGCACAAAAATTAGCTAAACAATTCGGTGTACACTGGTTACCTATCGGTATTCATTCAAATGAAGTGAGTTTTCTGTTCTTGATCTGTTACTCCACTCTACAAAAGAACCAACTTTCACAACGTAACAGACAGTACGTTCAGAAATGATAAAGCAATCATTACTTAGTGGCTAGATTTATTGTGGTGGACAGTCGACATCACATGAATTCAGAAATCCTATTTAAGAACATGACAAAACCATAAAAAATGATCATGCGTTGCACTTATAACCATAATTTTGACGTGGTCAAAAGTAGTGGAACTTGGTTTACCTAAATTTAAATCTAGTTTGGAAAGTTAATAGATAAACCTAACTTGTTACATTGTCTGTTAGAGAATAAAAGTTATATAAAGAAGGAATACTATATATGATAGAGAAGATTTGTAGCTCAGGTGGATGATTTTGATGTGGTTTTGTTCTCTGAGCTGGATGGTTAGTTTGCGAAGCTTTCATCACCTTACTGGGTGACATCTTCAGCGCATACTTCAATTTGAAGTGAGCTTTTAGATTTCTCCACGAGTTTATTAATCATCTCACTTCAAATTGAAGTATGCGCTGAAGATGTCACCCAGTAAGCTGATGAAAGCTTCGCAAACTAACCATCCAGCTCAGAGAACAAAACCACATCAAAAAAAAGGAATACTATCAAAGAAGTTTATTTATTATCTGCTGGAATTTCATGGGTCCTTATCTGAGATGACTACTTTGACTTGAGAAGAAGTGAACATTCAAAACGATAGTGGAAAAGACGATAATAAAAGGGAGAAGAGTATAATATAATGAAGTATTTGGGAGTGCATCTGCCATATCTTAAGATAAAGACGGACCAACAGAAAACTTTAAGCAAAAATGTATCATATGAAATTGCTATATTTGCCACAAAGGCACACCATAAACTAAATAAAAATAAATAAGATGATGCTGAGATATATACATAATTTAAAATATGTAACTTCTATTATATTTTCCGTCTTCAGTGGTGATAAATCTCATCCAAATATTAAGACAACTCCACTGTTAGAGATATTGAAATAAATCACCTAGGGCAAATAAGGCATATACTATGCTTTTATTTGCATTATATTGGGTATTTCGAAACCAGAGCCGGGTTATCTCATTTCTTCTAAATTCCAACCACTCAAATTTATAAACATGGTTCACCTTTTGTATATCATATGTAGACTTTCTCCTTGATACACATCTTCGTGTCTTGCTAGTAGTACTTATTATGTAGCTTATAACCAAGGGTATGAACTAATTTAGCAATAAGCAAAATAAGAGAGGAGTGAGTGGAAAGGAAATTCTCTAGGTTTTACACCTACCTGTAATTCATCTACAGCAGACGTGAGTGCGAAATTTGTGATTTCTTCAAACTTGGTTGATCTTGAACTCATAACACGAAATTTAATTTAGTAGTGGGGATAGGGTAGGAAGCAAATAATTAAATAATTCATATAACTTGAAAGCAAGTACTTTCGTTGTTATCGTGTAACTCTCTGGTATATCTCAGAAGAAGAGAAAAGAATGTTGCCTTACCCATGTTATAGTCACAGTTTTCTCATTACATTGACAGTTAAATGTTTACAAACATTCTGTTTACTTTGAAAATCAAAGGTGGACAGTTTTATCAACAGTCTTTCAGCTAATGAAATACCACGTGGTGAAAATGCAGATAAATTGAGACGTCGGCGTCTTAGAAGACAGATTCCTCCACAAGACAGAAAACCAGCAGTTGCAGTTGAAGAGTCTTGGCATCATCGTGTTAATTCACAACTTCCGGATGCAAATCACAGCTTGGAAAGTGAATTACGGGAAGCTAATCGCTTCAGAAATTCGCGTAATCGACGTGATTTTGGGGTCGGCAATGTTGAACACATGAATCAGGATGCAGGACAAGTAAGCAAATCGGATATCATATACATTTTTCTATAAAATTTGTTGACTGAGTGATAAATTTCATGAACACTAGCTAAGAAATCACTAAACATCACGAAGCATTTGACACTTGTTCACCTCTAGTGCGCATTCACGACCTGCCCGAGGAATTGAAGCCAGGTTACGAAGCTAGCACACTACTTATCAATCATAACAGTAAATATCATTTTTTCTAGTATACGCTTTCATCTTAATTTTATCAAGTCAGGTGGCTTTCAACCTCGTATTTGAACAATCACTTATATCAATTCAGAAAAACATGTCGTACCTATGTAGGTGCTTTATAAGATGTCATTGATCTAATTTACAATGTGTCATTGTCTTCAGCAGTCTATTACTGACAGAATGCTTCTATATTTATAAAACTTGTTAACGGTGCAGAAATGTTTTTAATTAAAAAATAGTGACAATTTTATGTTATATTTCATTCAAAGTGTGATGAAACTTAATTCATATATGTTTAATGTTTTCACCTAAATACATCAGGAGTAAATGCTCAACGCTAAGAAAAAATTCGATTTCGAAAATAGTATAGTTATTTACTTTTATTTGAATATTTCTGTTATCTAAATAAGTTTTGTGATTTTAATTTCCATTTAGCTTTCGTTTTGATCAACTTAACTCAGAACAGCAGCTAACCGACTAGAAAATCACCACAATCCAGGTGTTATGTTATTTCCTGAGTAATACTCTCCACTGAGGCAAACATTTCAGCACCAGCGGTTTTAGTGATTTCCATTCTTTCGGGTTAAATATGCGGGATTTATGAACTGAAAACGAGCTCTTATCATGGACCAGCATTAGCTTGACAACTTATCAGTAACCATGAGCACTGTATAACAGTTTCCTCCTAAGATGGGTTGCGTACCCAAAATTGTGTATTGTAACTAAACAGAGATTACCTCACCTCACCTCATAAACGTTACCACTAGTTCAAACTTGAGGCGTTTACTTTTATGACTCCTGTCAATTCATGGTATTTTGTGACTATTACCAGAAGCAATTTCCTGTATGAACAACGAAACCAGATATTCCTAACTAACACCTAATTTCAACTGTAGTATACTTCAACTAGGTATAAAATAGGAAGTGTACTCCAGTAGGTTCTGTACCCTTGTCTGAGTGGCAGTGCGCTCGTAGAGTAGTCTATTTATGCGTAAGGTATGGGGTATTTAGTTTACTAATGAAAACTAACAAGTTGTGACTAGACACGTGTTCAGTGCCATTCATCTCTCATTAGGTTCACAGGTTATATTTTTTTATTTTTGATTACAGCTTGATTCCACACTGTATTTTTGGTACAAGTGTGGAATTTTCAGCATGTGATATCGGTAGCCCAAATTTTGCAGGCCGACCATAGATATCAGGTGTGCGTCGGCAGGGAGTCGAAACTCGGCGAGAGTCCTAACCACTGTGCCACTGACGCACAGCTTTAAATCAAAGAATGGTTAAATTTTTTATGATTGATGTACTACCAAAATACTCAACTCGTTTCTTCAGTGGTCATTGTATTCAGTGTTTGTTGTGTGTTCCTTTCCCTAATCATTATTCTGAACTCTGCCAGTACATTAGAATCACTTCGTATTTTAACAGTGCATGTTCACTGATAGCTGTAAGAAAGTTGCAAATGTCTCATTGTGGAAATAAATAAAGCGGCATTCGTGAGACAGGAAGTATCTTTTGGTAACGCATGCATATTGAAATGCTGAATGCATTTATGCACTTCCACTATTCTTTTTAAACCCGCATAATTTAAAGTCTTTTCTTTTTTTCTCCTCTAAAAATTGTTTCAGCCATGTGCAGAATGTCTGAATAACATAAAATTTGGCGAGTTTTGTGTTCGAGTTCGACCAGAACATCGTGCTGTTGAAGCAGTTTCTGGTGCTCCATCTAGTGATGCTAGAGATTTCGCACCAGCTTGGCATTTAGAATGCTTTCGATGCGGAACATGCAGCGAGCAATTAGTTGATTATTGCTATGCTTGGTCGGGTGGTCGTCCTTATTGTTTGCGACACTACGGTCAACTTATCCGCCCTCGGTGTGCAACATGTGATCATGTGAGTATATTTCCCTTTTTAAAAAGTATCTGCATAGAAATGAAATTTAGATTTTAAAGATTACACTAATTTCCTGTGGATTCTGGTCGGTAGTGCTTGAGATCTATTTTCCTAAAGAAAATGAACACTACAATATTTATTCGATTAACTATTAAGTAATAAAGTTTTATTCAAGTGTTGGTTTGTTGGGATTTGATTGGTTACAGGATTTTCGTCATGAGCTGATATTAGTTAGAGAACCATTGGAAGACTAACAGGGAGTGCTAGACAGCTGTTTCGTCTTAATTTGGGACTCTTCATCAGTACGCACCCATCGGGATTCGAACCCAGGACCTTCTGGTTACACGGCGAGCTCCTACACCATTAGTGTTTGTCCCGACCTGGTTTCGAACTCTCTTGCGTTACGGCGCTTATAGCGGGTAGGTAGTTTTCACAAAAATTGACCCTTTAACTGCTATATTCAGAACTGTACATGAATGCAGAAATAAATATGGCGTTTCCTAGCTAATCTACCCAAAATGCATAAATTAGGTTACTAGGTAAAGAATATTAAGTTAGGTGGAATCCAAAGTAGTCAAGTAAAAACGATGGCAGACAGTTAGTGATAATACTAATTTATACAAAGAGATATGAAAACTACGTCAAATGTTTCTAACCTTATGGAAAATTGAATGTCATTGATCCACAAATATATAACCTAAAGAGGAACTCATTAAGAGTAACTTTTGTGTAGTATAATTTAATTAATTAAATAAATTAAGAGAATGATAATAGTTTCTAACTTGTTTTAATACTATTGTAGTATTTTTGACTAATCTGAATCTCGAGGCCAACTGAAACACTACAATATTACTTAACGTAATCCCAACATGTTTAGAAGCCGTGGCAGGTCCTTCGACTAAATACATATTTTCTTGGTCTTGATAATCGCTAACCTCCTTTTAGGACTTTTTTGTAAGTCAGTTAATTGAACTGCTGCAAGCCATTTCGATTCTTCACACTGTTCAGCTAACAACACAAGCGGTCTACCTCACCTTGATATGATTATGAGCAATAAATTGTGCTCGAAACGTCATCAGTAAACATTACTGTATAACACTATGAGACTTTATCAAAACGAAAATTTATCCATAATGGAATTATACTCTACCACAGTGCACAAGTTTTATTCTTATATCGAAAACTAGAGTGAAATCTCCACATGAGAATATACTTGCTAGTTTCATAAACCGTGGAAGGATTCGTTTCATCAAATCTCAAAAGCAGGCTGATGATTGGTCTGTTCTTCATAATATTTCAACCAATCATAATTTGCAATCACCATTCGTCTCTGACTAATAGGTTTTTTACTGGATGACCTTAAACTTTATCACTCGATTTAATGTCAACTCATAGACCTTGAGGTTCATCTTATGTCTAACCAGAAAATTACCAATTGAATTTTCATTGGTTTATTGGCTGACATGTCTTCCATTGCATATCTGCACAACGTGTGTTACGTTTTTAATACATTTATGTCTGTCATACTAAGTGAAGCTATTGGTCTAGTTTTAAGGAATTATATTTGTAGTAGCTTAACGATGATGCAGCTGAGACACACCTGGTGTTTATCGCTTATTGGTTTAAATTTGTGACTGCTGCTACTTAATGTCTGTGGTTGGATTAAGAGATTAAACTTTTCGTTCACGCCTTAGCTTATTTTCTCGGAGGAATACACTAGAGCTATGGATCAGGAGCATCACACGGGGCATTTCGCTTGCCGCAGTTGCGACGCTTCACTAACGGGACAGCGTTATATATTACGCGATGATGAACCTCATTGTCTGGGTTGTTACGAAGCCAAGTTTGCAAATACATGTGAGCAGTGCAAGGAAAAGATTGGCTGTGATTCTAAGGTGAGTAGTTTTCATGTATATTTTTATTGTTGCGCACTTCATGATAACACAGTGAATGATGTAGTAGGGTTTTTTAAAGTTTTCTCGGTCTCTATGTACTGCTTTAACAGTCATTAATTTGTTGCACACGACAGTTAATATTAAAGTGGTTAAAGTAGATTGTATAGCATTTTAAAAAAAATGTTACCCTTTGTAATATATAATGGTGGTAGCAGGATTAATTGAAACCCTTATGGTTACTTTTACCTACAAAAGAAAAGCACGACGTAGTCGAATAATGGGAATTCGTTTTACTCAGAGAAATGTAGTTCTTGTGTAATCTTGGTTTTTGATAAGGTGATTATATCCACAAAGGTACTTAGACAGAATTAATTCAGTACGAAGTGTTAGAAGATGGTACTGACATTTTCTTGTGGAAATTATATTCGGTCCAAGAGTTTCCGTCTATCTCAATTCTTAGTTTTCCGAGTACTATCACGGATCCACTTTTTTCCTGGCATACAGTACTAGCCACTTTGTGGGCATTTAATGCAACCTATATAAATTAAGTACTGAATACGGCCGAGCATTGCTACTTTGGCACTAAAGTAACAATGTTAGGTATCTATAAAACGACTTCTACATTAATGTCTTGCTTGTATGCAATGATAAAGGGGAAAAATTTGGTTCACTTATTCCAAGAGTAGAATCTAAAGTGACAGTAGACAGTTTGAGTCAAATGGTCATAACTGTTGCCAGTCTTATCCAACATGAAGGCCATAAAACATTTATGGAGATATCCTAGGCATTTGCTTCTTTTACTACGGTTGAATATTAAGACTATTGATCTCACCAGTGATTCTATATGCATTCAGAATTTATTCTGTACATTGAGCAGAGAAATCACCGGATATGATTATGTCAGCTGTTCGCTTGTGGTGTCTTTATAATGCCAATATGAAGAGTCTGTATCACTGAATGGGAAATATATTCATACTCCGATTTCTTGTCTTAATCTCGGAATAAATTGTTTACACACGAAAGTATTTGCAATGGTGTTTGATAGGAAGCTGAGTGCCTCCAACAAAACTCTCCAACCGTATTTTCCAAATTATACTTGCCTAAAATCTCATGCCCCCTTCTTCAAGTAGACTGTTGGTTGGAATGCCGGTCACACCCAGTATTAATTAGCAACACACATATTGCTGCTATAAGTATTCTTCGCAGCTTTAAACTCAGGGTATCTTTTTCATATTATTTGCAAACTGGTATTTATATTGATTTCTATGGCCGTTTAATTTTTATATCATACTGTGTTTTAGAAATATTTCGGTAACTAAGATAAACTGACGAAGAGATTGCGTTTGGCGTTGTAATAAAACACCCCCCTTTTAACTGTAGATCTTCAAAATACTCTCAGACTTTAGAACATAGTAATAATGATAATAATAGTAACAACTGGATAAACTAATTTAGTAGTATGTACATATAGTGTATGTAAAACGTTTACAGTAACAAATCCCTCGTATGCATGATTATAAGGATCTGTTGAGGTTGTACGTTAATTCAGGTGTTCCTGTAACCTGGCAGTCACTAACTTGTTATGAATTAAAAATAATTATTTCCACCACAGAATTACTTTTGTGTATGATCAAGCACAATTATTTTCTTAACAGGAAGTTATTAGCCGTATAAGTTCCCCACTGTTTTTTTTCTTGTATTACATGCCTACTTAGAGCAACAGTCATAATTGTTGCACATCTCCCAGAAAACCACATTGTAAGCAACTTATTTTTTTACTGTGCTCAAAACATAGACTTCTAATCATTGATTTTTTCTGTTTTCATTGCTAGTAGTTATTTCCCAGGTTGTGACAGCAATCAATGTAGCTTATTATGTTTTGTCAAAATCTGATGCAAAATTCTTTTGCATTCTTGTGTGCTGATTGTACATAACTGTTAGGGTGGTCTAAAACCAGAGGTTGGGATCACATCACTTGTCCGTGATATGTCGGAGCCTACACGGAACGCAGTGTATATGTCTTCTAATCAATCGAATGTTAGATTTCATCCAATTTGTTCAATGCCACATGTCCTGGGTCCTGGTTGTAGAGTCGTTCAAGCCTGGCAGTGTGATACAATCAAGGCAGGTGAAAGTCTTCAAACTTCTGTTCATCATCACCTAACGCGTGTCATACCAGTGTTATCGCTTTGTATCGTCGTATTGTGCTCCTTGTGGTCTCGTGTTCGTCTTATTGGACATCAGTTTAATGTTTTCAAATTGTGTTTATTTTCTCATGCACCTCTTTTCGGTGTGTCATTTTAGAAGCTAAGTTCGTCTAATGATTATCTCCTTTTCATTAATACTGATTTAAATCGATCATAATGTTTTTTTCACCACATAAGCAACTTCGGTATCTGTTTTACAGTTATTTAATTAACTCAACCACTAATTTTTGTTTTACCCACCTCCAGATTGATGTCTTCATTTGAGTGCATGCTGAACCACAGTTAGGTTGAATTTTTGCTTTTATCGATATATTTCATGGACTCGTTGTATTTGCATTTGGGAGACTATATATTAAGTCTCCTAGGTAGATGTTATTGTTCCACTCTGTTGTCATTTCTGACTCAGTCATTACGCTTCATAGCTTAACGTTCTTTTTATTTTCGTAGGATCTTTCATTCAAGGAAAGGCACTGGCATGAGAAGTGTTTCAAATGTTCTTCTTGTACAACTTCATTGGCAGACCGACCGTTTGCAACCAAAGAAGAACAACTTTATTGCTCTGATTGCTATGATGATCGTTTCGCCGCTCGTTGTGATGGTTGCCAAGGCGTATTTAAAGCTGGGATGAGAAAATATGAATATCGTGGACAGCAGTGGCATGAAGAATGCTTCCTGTGCGTAGAATGTAAACAACCAATTGGCGCAAAGAGTTTCATCCCTCGGGAAAATCAAGTGGTCTGTGTACCATGTTATGAAGCTAAATACGCTCAACGTTGTACTAAGTGTACAGAAGTAAGTTTGAATTTCCTTTCTGTAATCAAAAAAGGTTTTAAAATGGAAATAGAAAAAAACGTTTTGAGTTATATTGTAAAACCACGCGTTATCGTATTTTGTGTACCACTCAATAGTTGTTAACAATATCACTAAAACATATGCAAGACTGTTTCAAATGCTAAATCTCCATACACATTGTCTTCTGTATAACTCTTACGTAAGCATTCTATATTGAGTGCAAGGTGGTCGTAAAGTAATACTGATTTCCACTTTAAGAACTCTTAGTTTAGCTCAAATTTAATTTAATCGCAAATTCTTATCAGGATCAAAACAAATAAACTACTGTAAAGTCCTTCAAAATTATCTAGAGATTCTTGTTTTGGTTTTATAGTGTCTGCAGTAGATATAACATATTATTTTAGTGATTATACTTCTCAAGAGTATAATTAACTTGCGTTTCTTATACTGGTTATTTTTATGAACATATTAGCAAAAAATGAACACTGTAGCAGAGTATAGTACCATGTTGTTTTGCTTAATTGGGTGCGGCCTACAGCGATATTTTCTTATTTGTTGAATGGTACTCTGGTCAAAATTTATTCAAGTAGTTACGCAACTTTCAAATTAAATATTAGTAATGCTCTATAGCCACATTCCCCTGTTATTAATAGCAGAATCTTCCAGATATTCTAAAGCGGTTGTTTACCCATTAGATTTTAAAAATAAAGTCAAACATACTCGTCCAGCAAACAAAACTTTAGCGCCGTGTGCTATATGCCAGATACACAAATTTCCGTGGTACTGACTGTATATTTAGTTGACGTGATGAGTTGGCAGAAAGTTATTTTTAAGTTGTCATTTATTTCTTTGCTGACTGTAACTTACGTAATAGAAGCACCTACTGTTATCGCAATCTTACAGGACTGCTTCGCATCCTAAAGAAAATATCAAATCTGTGAATTTAATAGCCTGACGGTGCGAAAGAATATGCTTCTAGAGAGAATCAGCAATTACCCCATATCCCTTTGGATTTTCGATGGCTTTTCTTCTGTGCAAACTGTCTGTAATTTGTGTCTGCGATTCAGAACTAAACTTTGGGAATTGATTTGCAATTATCATTTATTTTCACTTATCGGAGAATGTATGTTGAATTCTGTAGTCTAAAAAATATGCAGAATTAAAGTGCATTTAGTGTTATTTCATCGACAATCTAAATGCTAAACTACAGGAATTGCAGTGTCTTCTAGTGAGCTTAAGGGAAATATTTTATTCTACTGGTTTTGTGTACTTTAGGTCTTCACCAGCATTTAGGAAGCTTTTCAACTATGTTTGTTGACATAAAATAAAGATCTAGCCCAAAACAAAATTAAGAACCCCAGATACTGAACTTATTGAATACAAGTTATCAAAATTAAGCATATCGTTTTTACTTTAATCCTGATTTAGACACTTGTGTTATTGGGTTTTGACTGAATATAAATGAAACAGTAATGTTCGTATTATGGGTGTCAAACTACTTTCGTATTTAGAGGTATTGTGAACCTTTACATTGAAACTCTGCTTCACATAAACGTTTAATTAAGGTAGTAGTTTCCATAAATCCAGAATTGGTGACCAGTGTGTTCAATAATATTTCAACTGAATATCCGCGTTTATGTTCGTAAGGTGCTGCTAGTTTTAAATTACTGATAAATTCCTTAAGTTCTTAACATCTTGAGCATTAGCATCTTAAGCTTGCTATTATAAGGTTTTCATTTTCCTTACTTTTTTTCAAAACTTATACATTCCATTAGGTTATACGTCGCGGTGGAGTTACTTATAAGGGAAATCCGTGGCACAAAGAATGTTTCACTTGCACCAATTGTGCAAAACAGTTGGCAGGCTTAAAATTCACCTCCAAAGAGGAACAACCATATTGTGCAGATTGCTATGGTGATCTGTTTGCCAAAAAATGCACAAAATGCACCAAGCCAATTACGGGTAAATTTTCTGCTGTTTCTGGTTTACTTTAATACGCTTTATTCCGTGTCCTGTTATTTGATCATGATGAGATTTATTATCATTTTTATTCACTTGATTTTCGCATTGAAATAGGATTTTAGCAGCTCATATAAATTTTTCTATGTTCTCCGTATTCGTTTTGTCTTGCCGTACTTTTGCCCAGAAGCTTTCATTTTCACCTCCCTGTCATCCTCGGAGGCCCAACTCTTCGATTCCTGCTAGAGTTCTTCTCGAGGGTCTTTCTTCTCTGTCTACTCCCAATCCATCTCCGTTTGCTGGTGTATATTTGTTGGAGGATAGGTTCTTGGTTACTTCGTTCCCAGAGTTCCTGGTTGTTTATGATTATGTCTATCTTGTTCACCGCTAGGTCTTAAGCCGGCAAAAAAGAGGGAGGGTTGGGCTTTGAACCACCGACCCTACCCGGGGTAATCAATCCAACTACAAAAACTTCAAAGCATAAAATATTAAAAAACAAACTTATTCTTCGCCGGAATCGGAGGGACGGAATGGCGCCGGGTGGTAAAATCCTTTAAGACTCCAGTCAACCGCTATATCTTCTTTTAATGAAAGTGAAAATAAGCATGGAAACATGGAATGTCTGCATGATGTTTGAACGTTGAAAGGCTGCTCAGATCGCCAAGGAGATGCAGGCAATAATGGACAGAAGCCCAAATAACGGCGTCAAAATCCTAATGGGTGATATGAATATAGGAGAAAACAAAACAGGAAAAGAACTCATCATAGGTTCTCGGCGAAATGAATGAGAACGGCGAAATATCCTCAGACTTCTGTGCGTCTGATGACTCAATTGTATCATAATGACATACCCAATATTTAATATACTATTTGGTCAAAACTAGTGATTTTAGAGAGTGGTACATCTAGGATTTTAATAACTGTTTCTCTTCTTCGTTCTAAAGATGCTAATTTCACAATCACTTATTGAATTTCTTGATCGAAGAAATCCATCGACCCGTAAGCGTACTTGATTGGGGAGTTTACATCTTGCCAAAACAACCAGTCGGTGTACACTACGTAGTCTTCTGCTTAAACTCGTCAATGTTGCAGTAGTTTTTTATGTTTCATATCCATTCTCTGTCTCCCGAAAGTGACTATGATCTGCAAAATTAGATCGAGTTTTCGGCCACCTAATTAGTGATTTCCTTATGAAACAACTGGGCAACTCAGTTCAGGAGTGATCCCAAAAAGAATATCCACGTAAATGTTTGTAATCACTCGATAAACAGAAATAACAATTTGTATTTTAAAATAAATTTTACCGTCAATCATTTGATATAATATGAATTTGCAAGTGACTCATGCACTAAACCTGGATATTGATATAGGAAATATGAAAAATCAAAGGTTGAAAGCTAAGTTTCATATCAGACTGTTGATACAGTTTCACTAACTTATATATGCGTCAGAAAGTGAACAGTATTTATAGTATTGCAGTCTACGTTATGGTCATCATATTACCTAGTTACCTAAGTTGAAGTATTTATAGACATGTGCGAAACAGACGGAAATTTGCTGAGGTAGAGTTTCTTATAACAATAAACTATGTTTCCATCGAGAAGGACCTCCGAATACTCCCTGAATGATGATTAATTCACTGACTGGACAAATTGCATAACCTTATAAATTGACAAGGTAAAAATAGTAGCTCACTGTCACTTGATAGGCTAAATATGAGGAATAAAACGTCAATTTAAGGAAACTAAGGTTTTTTATTATCGTTATATAATAGGCTGCAAGCCTAGAAAATTAATATTTCCTGATCAGTAGATACATCCAACTAAATATAATCGTTTCGATTTAATCTCAAACGAGCGGGTAGTATTGTCTTTTATTATCAATTCTCTTCTTCATGCTCATAATTTTCTTGTCGGATTTAAACAACCGAATAAGAACGACATTTACAGGGTCAAATGACATTTTAATTGATTGGATTCTTGTCGGTTGCATTCAGTCTAAATGAGTAATTATCTAAGTGATCAAGCTTCAGGTATGCTCAAAATTCTCTCTAAATCAGTCAGTAAGACGTTCTTTGCAGCAAAATTACGTTCATCAGCCGCAAGATTGTTCTCCGTCTCTGTATAGGATAAGTTCCCCCATCTGGCCGCCTCCATGTGCATCTATCACTTCACCTGCTCTTGTGGAACAAGGTACATTGACCGTAGTCAGAGGACGCTTTCCACACGGATACGAGAACATATTCCAGCTTGGTTTTACAAGGGAGAAAGGAAGTGTATGCGAAGCTCTATTTTTGAACACCTGATCGACTTCTGTCACTCGGTCAACCCTGACCATGATTTCAATTATCTAAGTGTGAAGGTAAATATGCACGAAAGAACTTGTGATATTTCAGGTGTTCGAAGTAAAAATGGTGTATAAAATGACAGGTGTCGTATATATTATTCATTTATACAATATAGATGTGATTTTAAGAGCAAGAGGCAAATATTATAGAGCAGAAGATATGTGCTTAATTATTATTGTCACTTCAGTTTAACTGCAGGGATTGATGGTGAACAAAATGTAAAGCTGGTGTTGTACAAACAACGTATGTTTATTCATAATGCACTCGCTACACAGCAAGTGCACTTTAAAACGTTAAAGGTGAATTCCGCTTTGTTCTCTGACTATATATTGGAATTATGTTTAAAGAGATAAGGTTCCAGCTGTTAGATTTTCTAGATATCTATTGGACACTGCGTGCCATGCAGCAGATGTTGAAACTAGTTCCCTTCACTGAATCATTTTTAGAAGTCACCCCAATCACAACCGTGTTCTGATTTTTTTTATTTCTGTAGAATATTGGTCTCAACATTACGAGCCTCATTTCTACTGAAAGTTAGCACCAATTGTGAAACACAACGAGTTATTTTTATTTTATTTTTCCAAATATTTTCAATACGTCCCGTTTTATAGCTTCAGTCTTCCTTGTACAACTATTGTAATTCTATTCAGTCCGTATATGATTGGAAGTCATAAATCAGATGTTTCTTCCTACTGTTAGTGTAGTGTTATTTATTTACATTAAGTAAGTGATCCCCCTATCTGATTGAGGAAACATTGATTTACCAAGGTGTTGTGAACGATTTTTAACATTCCTTAAAAGGATCCTTGACGTCTTTCAAACAGCTATTAGTGCATTATTGTGTGTAGTCTAATGGAGAATACTCTTTCAATCTATCTAAAGTGGTGATTACGATCATTTAGTGATGTTTTGTGAAATTTCAAACAGATTTATTTTGACTTGTTTGGGTTGTTTAAACAAAGTATCTCTTGAAAACCGGTCTTGGATTTTAATACAGTGCTAGTTTCAGTATTTATGTGAGTTCGGAATTTAAACAAATCATCCGCATCATTTAGTGATTCCAGCTAATCTTAAAGCCAGCAAAAACTAATCTGGACATATTTAAGCTACGGGGTCGGGGCAAAATGTTTGTTGTGAAGTGACAACCTTGAAACCCAAACTTACATAGCCATTTGAGTTATCTATTTATTGGTCTAACATTTCTAGGTTGGCAATATTTATGTGTACTGTTTTTGTATAGTAAGATCTGTTGTGATGATATTAGATGGTTGAAGGCAATCAGAAGGAAGCCTTGGACCTAAGTTTCGTGCTAGTTGGCACTCATCAGCAAGACGTATCTGCAACTTTGAAGGAGCTGATGTCCCTTCTGAGATTCGAACCCGCATCACCCAGTGCCGACTGCAATCAGAGACGTTACCACTGAGCTATTCGGGCTGGCGATTGACCTCCTGAAGGACTGTAGTGGATATTTTGATTGAACACTAGTAACCAGTGTTCCTTCAAGGTTGCAGATACTCGTTACTGATGAGTGCCAACTAGCACGAAACCTAGATCCAAGGCTTCCTGCCGATTACCTCCAATCATCTAATATCATCAAATCTATGTCCACTGTGATGGTGAGCTACCTAGAATGGTGGCCACATTACAAACTTCACTGATAGAATTCAGTCTTCACCAAAGAAAGGACTAGACACATCACACTAGTTACTAGTGTCCAATCACATGATCTGTTGTTCCCACCAACTCGAAGAGATCTGCCTTCTTTTTTTACTTGTGTAGACTCAGCGGTTCAGAGGTGATTTGAAATCCGTATTTAGTAATTCTTCAAACGAGTTGTTTAGTTTCTTCCGGTACCAGTATTGTTACGAATGCCAGTCATACCAACTCATATCAAATTTCGGTTACGGTATTGGAGCCGAATGACGTTATCTTAATCCTTCATATTAGTATTCGCCCGCTGTGTGAACTGAAAAGGATGATTTACTTAGTTTCAGAATTTTATGGATTGATTACTGATAATCGCGATATGTACTTTCATTATTACTGTTTCCTTATGACGTTACGATTACCATCTCTAAGCGGACTCAGCGTCTATCAAAGTAGTTTAACTTTGATTTAGGTTGTAGACAATCAACTCTGGGTAACTTTTAGTTGCAATCATTTCACTTAAGCTAAGCCCAGTGCATCATCTGCTTGGAATTAAATATTGTGCTCATGTAGGCATTGTATTACTACTGTGGCATCATAATTTAAACTGCTGTACTTTTGCGCAGTTTTGCATTAAAAAATCTGTCATTCGGTCAGTTTCTGTGATGATATGTGTGGTAATGATGTTTTTCATCAGTCACAGTAAGTTTATGTGATAATCACGTAACCTCTGTTTTTGGTTAGAATAACAATATTAACTGTTATGGTACAGTATGTGATTATATTGGCTTGTTTTGTGTTTATTACTGTTCAGCAGCTGGTGCATCTGGTGCTAATTCAGTCAATTTTGAATCCAGCTTTTCTGTAATATGCAATTAAGTTTTCTGACGTTTTTACCGATTTACAGGATTCGGAGGCTGTAAGTTTATTTCATTCGAGGACCGTCATTGGCACTCAGAATGCTTTTCGTGTGGAAAATGCAACTGCAACTTAGTCGGCAGAGGTTTTCTTACCAGTGATGATATGATCATGTGTTCAGATTGTGGACGCTAATTTCGCCAATCAAAGAGAAAATGCAAATCTAGTCAGCACCCGAATGACTGTTTTTCTGTCCAACGTGGTGATATCATTTGTAGCAATAAAATTGCCTTAGCCAGTTTGTATGTTTTCAACGCATTTATGACCCTAAATTAACTCAACAACACGTACCAACTGATGTAAAACAGAATGATGTTTACCTAACTGATACATTTTACTATGAAATTCTATTCTAGTCTATCCTGATACTACTGACTTATTTTCCTAATTTTCTTCCACTGTCTTGTTAAGTTTAATTTGTCTTCCTTTACACTTACTCGCAGTTCACGGCGATGTTTGTGACCGAATTGTTTTATTTTATTCGGCGCCTGCATGGCTTTCCTATCTACACTCTTTTTGTTCATTGTTTAGCAGTAGTGTGGGCACAATTGTCTCTTTCGAACCCATTTAGCCGCTTGTGTTGCTTAAGATCGTTGGTAGTACGTTTCTGTATACGTGAATAACTAAGTGTTTTTCTAGAAATTGTAGAATTCTGAGCTTCCAGGTTTTTCTTCTCTTCATTATCTATGCGACTGATAATGAATACAGGCGTTTGATCGGTGTGTGTATGTGATGTACAAGGGCAGTTATCCTTCCTTTACTACTGTAAGTCATGTCATCAAACTTTCACCCTTCATTATTCTGTTTCCCTTGACTTTCTGTATTCTGACCTCAAGTACGTAATACACCTTACTACACATATGAATACACTGATCAATCGTCTACAAGTCCATATTGTACACTTTGAATCACTATAGGCATTTTGCAAAACTGTTTTCATTTCATTGTTTATTCAATTCAGCCACGTTGACAAATACACTCGCACATAAACAGATCATCCTTATTTAAATGTGAAGAGCAATAAATTTAATTTTCAAAAGTTTCCTTTAGTTTTATGCATATGATTCGTATAAATGTAAACACTTCATAAAGGTTCAGGGTACAATCTTTTCTCCTAGTGTGATTTATTCCCATTAAATTTAGACATTTTAGTTATTTCATAGTCTACCTTCAGTTCTGTTGTGATAACACGAACATTGTAAGAGGATATCGAAATAACGTTAATAAAGTAATCGAAGTTTCACTAAAATTTAGTCAGATGCCTGACAGGATTACTTTGTTGACTAACGAGCATATATGTGTGTTATATGATACATGCTATCCGTATTATGTGGAATTACGCGAAAACCTGGGTTAGTTCTAGCCTTCACTTTTCGCAACTCTGCAGAGCAAATAACAGTCGAAATAGGGAAAGCAAATAACACAAAATACTAAAGATGGATGCTACTGACTAGTTTTCAGCAACATCACAGTGTTTAAAACTTGACGTCATTGAGGTCAAAAAAATGCCGTTTAAATGGTTTTCGGATCAAAGTGGTTAGATTGCATATATGATATCATATCTGAGTTGGGATTAATTTATTTCGTTTGGTTCCACCATTTTCATTATCTTACTTTTAATTTTGATGTTGTTGATCCACTGGTTACGGTGTGGTGAGAGCAGGCTGCTAGCCAATTGGTAGACATTAATTTACGTCAATGTCTGTCGCAAATATTGGCCGTGAGAAAATATGAACAAGACTGATTCAACAACCAATCACAGCAGACTTAACGTGGGCAAAGACGATTCGCAGATATACGACTTAACTTTCTGAGAAATCTTTCACAAACGGTACAGAATGACCTTAAGCAAGAAACAACCAATCAGAAGACTGTGTTTATCTGCTTGAATAAGCTGTAATAATGTACGTGAAATATATATAAATAAGTGTTGATTTCCTTAATAAAACGATCTGTTGCCTGGCCCTTGTCTTCTTTTGTTACAATGGTACTTGCATTCAATTAAAGGCACTGATATTTGAATATTTGAAATTATGTATTCCACGTCTAACAGTCCTGTTGGAATCGCAAAGTTGGTGGGTCTCAATTTGCGTGTATACTAGTTTGCTGAAGTTGCGAATTATGCCCTTATGAGTCAAGAGTAGTGGATTCTGAATAGGAATTCGATATCTTATAAAGCTTTCTATGATTGTTGGACTCAATACTACAAGATACATTTTTACTTATTTTTTGTCATTGGCCAACAGAATTTCAATCCAATTGCTATCACTGGTTTTCAAGCCTAAAAGTAGACTAATTCAAAACTGTCACATGGAATCAACTGTTCGCATACTAGGCTAATTGTCATCATTCGATGTGCACTGATGACTACAACATTTTAGTGAAACTATTTTACATATGTGAATAAGATTCAATTAATCTAAAGTGCCCATTAGAATATTCTATATTCAGCAATCAGTCTTTTGAATAAGATCCACAGATGCTTAGATTTTGGAATTTACTGCTCGCAGAATGAGTCACAACTGCTTAGTTTTTTGGGACTGTCCAATTGCTTAAATTCAAATGAGTACCAGGTCCGATTATACTGCACACATGAGCAGTCAGTAATTAGCGCCAAAATCAAACCTTTAACAATTGAAAGCAGAATAACCTTGGAAGCACGATTTTTTGAATTGACTTCGTGAGATACGAGTGACAGTGAGAATATGCTGAGTTGGGATTTCCCTTTATGTATTATTTCTTTTAATCCATGAAACTGATATTAGAGTTAACCCCGCCTAGTTTACTGACAGGTCATAAGACTAGAAACGAGGGAACGTCGGTCTAGAAGCCTTATAGCTACTGAAACGTAAAAGCACACAAAAAATGAACTTACTCTCCCCTGGAATCGGGAAAACTGCTCAATTCAAGGATGGATTATGGTGGCAGGTGAAAATGTTCGGTAAACCGGTCGACCGATATACCTTGTGACAGAATTAAAAGTAAGCATGTTCCATGTCCATAAAATATTTGAAACTTGGCGAGATGGATTATTATTTGTAGAAGTCTGCGCCTTCACTGATTGGAGTTAGCGTGAATAAGCACAAGATAGATGAACTAAAATTCAGATTGGCTTGATCTCAATGTCAAGAAATTGGTGACAGCCTGCTAGATATGAGATCGAGAAGAGGAGTTCAAGAAACCTCAGAGGTCAATATAAAAGCATTCAGAGAAGCTGAAGATAGTTCGAGTTCAGCACTCAAAAACTAAAGGGCACATTTACAAAGGATAACTTAGAGTGGTCACCAGTTAAATTGGAAGGGGGCCGGGCAGTAAGCAACATGACCGAGGAAGCCTGCATGGAAGAACACTAAAACTCTGTAAAGGTGACGTGGAAAGAAAGCTGTATGCGCATCTTAGGCAAGAAGGAGAGGGAAGACATCTGGATACTGACAAAAGGATACTTACACAGACTAAAGGCAAGAGACTCTAGAACACTATATCAAATAACCAGGCTGCTATCCCGTAAGAGGTCAGTGCAGGTAAACCCAGTTGGTAAAGAGGTGGAATGGAAGAAAAGCTGTGCTGATTACTTCAAAGGACTTATAAATCGGCTGAAAATGACACCAACCATGCGATAAAGTCAGAAAAGCCATAAAAATACCTGAAGGATAATAAAATATATGGATCTGGCGGATGATTTGCTCCATATATATATATATATATATATATATATATATATATATATAAACTTTGTACATAAATTCATTTTTGAGGACCCTGGACCGGTCTTAATGTGATGTGGTACATTTGAACAGCAAGGTCTCTTCTTCACTACTATTTAGAGAGGAAACAGCAATAAATTTTCCACAAATTAGAGAGATATTACTGTATCTTGAAATAAAATAATCTTACATGATTTTATTCAATGTATTTCATGGCTAACTTTGAAGCTGTCATAATCAGAGTAAAATTAATTCCTTCAAACAGACGCATCTTTTAGGACAACGGTAGAACTTTACTCCAATCAAAGTAACTGCAGTCCAAAAAGTGTTTTTCCTCAGCAACATAAAGACTGTATTTGCTTCAAGCCAGTCGTCAGCTTATATTACGCCTTGCAGCTAACTGTATCTCATTTCAGAACTATCATCAGGCTTCATTTAGTGGAAAAGAAAGCAGACAGAACCTTGGAATGAGAAATTCTCAAATACTTTATTTAACAGACATAATTATAATTTTTTCTTTTTTGAAATGACAACTATATACAGTTAACGCAGAAATCAAATTGGGAATATGGATAAATATAATCTATGTTAGTGATAATTTAGGTGAATAACTTTCGTAACATCTTATTTCCATCGTTCAAACCTCATTACTGACTCAACCATCCCCACCTGTGAAAACGGATGCACTTATCGGCTAATCAATGATACTCTGTAGGGAAGAGATGTTACAGTATCCTCAAAAAGGATTGTAAGTAGTTAAGAAAGTATGGAAATTTCAATTGATGAAACTAATTTGCTTGAAAAAGTCAAGTGTTGTCACCAACACACCTTAAATATTAAGATTTTTTATGATACAATGTACACTTGTACAAACAACAACTGATACACATCATATTATATTTTAAGAAATTGAGATTATCAAGGGAAGTACTGAAAACCAAGTGGTACTTGGAAGATATTTCGCATCTTGATGATATGGGATGGTGATGGAATGAATTTATGAAAACGTATTGACAAATAGATTTTGAGAAACAACCGGATGGTATTATGGTCTCCTTAGAATCTAATGGTGTGGTGAGAGCAGGCTGCTACCCAATTGGTAGACATTAATTTACGTCAATGTCTAGGTCACTAATATTGGCCGTGAGAAAATATGAACAAGACTGATTCAACAACCAATCACAGCAGACTTAACGTGGGCAAAGACGATTCGCAGATATACGACTTAACTTTCTGAGAAATCTTTCACAAACGGTACAGAATGACCTTAAGCAAGAAACAACCAATCAGAAGACTGTGTTTATCTGCTTGAATAAGCTGTAATAATGTACGTGAAATATATATAAATAAGTGTTGATTTCCTTAATAAAACGATCTGTTGCCTGGCCCTTGTCTTCTTTTGTTACAATGGTACTTGCATTCAATTAAAGG